AACTATAAAGGACAGAAAGTTGTGGAGAGCCATGATCGCCCAGGAAAAGAGATAGCAACAAGACATTGCTAAGAACTATAAAGGGCAGAAAGTTGTGGAGAGCCATGATCGCCCAGGAAAAGAGATAGCAACAAGACATTGCTAAGAACTATAAAGGACAAAAAGTTGTGGAGAGCCATGATCGCCCAGGAAAAGAGATAGCAACAAGACATTGCTAAGAACTATAAAGGGCAGAAAGTTGAATGATCCTTGGGAAAAGAGATAGCAACAAGACATTGAAGAACTATAAAGGGCAGAAAAGTTGTGGAGAGCCATGATCGCTCAGGAAAGAGATAGCAACAAGACATTGCTAAAAACTATAAAGGACAGAAAGTTGTGGAGAGCCATGATCGCCCAGGAAAAGAGATAGCAACAAGACATTGCTAAGAACTATAAAGGGCAGAAAGTTGTGGAGAGCCATGATCGCTCAGGAAAAGAGATAGCAACAAGACATTGCTAAGAACTATAAAGGACAGAAAGTTGTGGAGAGCCATGATCGCCCAGGAAAAGAGATAGCAACAAGACATTGCTAAGAACTATAAAAAGGACAGAAAGTTGTGGAGAGCCATGATCGCTCAGGAAAAGAGATAGCAACAAGACATTGCTAAGAACTATAAAGGGCAGAAATTTGTGGAGAGCCATGATCGCCCAGGAAAAGAGATAGCAACAAGACATTGCTAAGAACTATAAAGGGCAGAAAGTTGTGGAGAGCCATGATCGCTCAGGAAAAGAGATAGCAACAAGACATTGCTAAGAACTATAAAGGACAGAAAGTTGTGGAGAGCCATGATCGCCCAGGAAAAGAGATAGCAACAAGACATTGCTAAGAACTATAAAGGACAGAATGTTGTGGAGAGCCATGATCGCCCAGGTTCTGAATGGACACGGAGCGTCGAAGAAAAAAGATTATATTGTATTTGATGTAAATTTAATCCCCACTCCCAAAAAAAAAGTAATAAAACATTTATTAATGATTGAATGCCCTTCAAGAGATTTTGCCCAGCCTGCATATGATTATGATTTAGGTCACTTGATTTCTTTTCAAGGTGTGACGATATGGTAGTTAGAATGTCGACCGGATTTGTAAGGGATTTTAACTCGTTGCCCTGCTTTTTAGGGTTATCTAAATGTAATTGCTCTTATTCATTCGTCTAGGCATCTAAATGGGGTACTTACTCGCTGGCTGTATTCAGTATCTCCAAAACCAAGCTAGTTGCAACCCATCACTGCCAATCGGACCCCAAACTACCACCGGTCACGATGAATGGGCGTTCCAGCCGGAACTCAAACTCGTACTTACGATCGCTAAAGATGCACGAAAAATATTGGGTTCGCTGTACCGTTCCAGTAAGTACCTGACTCCTTTTTGTGATGTTAGACCAATTCGCTTGTCACTTTTGCGATGTCAATCGAAAGGTCGTTATCACTTCCGAAAATGCTCGCTGTAGTCGAGACTTCGTAAACGCCAGTACTGGTAGTAACGCTTTCCAATAATATCCGTACTAGTAATACTTGTTCAAGTAGTAATTGCCAAATAATATAATGGTCAGTAGAGAATCGTAATCCGTATAGTAGTAGAGTAGAGAGATTGAACGTATAGCAATATTGGATAGATTCAACAGTGAGCTTCTTCCTATTTATTCACTTCCTTTGTGATCGGGTGATCTACTTAATAATGGAATCACCCATGTTACTCATTGGCGATCAGGTTTCAAACCACAGTGTCGGCAATGACACTTATTCCAATACAAGAATACTCGAGAAATCTTATGCTAAGGTACTATTCAACATTGGTGAATCATCGAGACGATCTTGAGCTCGTCGGATTTTAAAATTATAAAGGATAGAAATTATATAAGATAAATATATAAAATATCTTACATTTTTCATATATATTCATATAATTTTATATTCTGTATTTTATAAGTTTAAGCATAATTTAAGCACTATATTATATTAAGCTCTTTTCGTGTACATTTTAATCTGTCCCTCTGCCATATATGGTCTGGGGCACCTTCTGTTTACCTCGGAGTTCTTGACAAGATCCAGAGACGGATATGTAATATAATTGGCCCTGATCTGGCATCTCGTCTACAGTCACTCTCTCACAGACGCGCCGTCGCCTCTCTCTGTCTTTTCTACAAATACTTTCATGATAATTGCTCCGATGAGCTGCTTTCACTGGTTCCCAGATTACATGAATTAAAGCGCCCTACGAGGCTGGCATCTCGCTCCCACCCTTACACTGTAGAAACTTTTAAATGTAGCCGTCTCTTCTACTCCAATAGCTTCATGTCTCGCAACTCTAACCTGTGGAACACCCTTTCCCAATTACTGTTTCCCTGAGAGCTATATTCTCCAACTATTCAAAGGTAATGTCACTCGACATCTCCAGTTACCTTGATCTATCCACTATCCCTCTCCTCATCCTTTCTTCTATCACTCCTATCTGCTCTTGCTCCAAATCTTTTGCAACCCTCTGCATCCTAGTAGCTTCACGCCTTGCTTGGGGCGTAATGCTTAAAAAAAAAAAGTTAATCTCAGAAATTTAGACAGATACTGTTTTTGTTTTTGTTTTTGTTTGGGGGTTCGCTGCTTGCCCGTAGCTGGGACCCTAACAGATGCTACCACCCCGGGTCAGAGTGAGCCTGGGAACAGCAGTAATTAAGAGGTGGTTCCACGCTCCTCAAAATCTCCCGATCACAGGCCTTGCTGCCGGATGTAGTTTATCATCATACCTAAGACACACTAAAGGGAGGTAATTCAAATCTATTTACCGGATGAATTAAATATAAATAATTTTACCATAGGAATATATTGAAAATAATTTTACTATACTAATACGAATTGGGATAGTGAAAGACATCTTCCAAAAGTCAATGAATACCGACTGTTTCTTTGTACGGAAATAATTAATATTACCATTAGCATTTTTGTGATGTTGGACAGCTTCGCTTGTCACTTTTGCCATGTCAAACGATCACTTCCAAAGATGCGCATTATATTCAAAACTTCGTAAACGCTGGTACTGGTAGTAACGCCTTCCCATATTATCCGCACTAGTAATACTTGTTCGAGTACTAATCGCCAAATAGTATAATGATCAGATGTAGCGAGAGTGAACGTATAGCAATATTAGGTAGACAAGAAGAGTGACAAGTGATTGTTACGCTATTTCGTATTTATTCACTTCCTTTATGATCACGTGATCTACTTAATAATGGAATCGCCCGTATTACTCGCTGGCGATCTAGTTTCAAACCACGGTGTCGGCAACGACACTTACTCTTATACAACACTCCTACGTGCAAACGTCTGCATTTACAACAGCCAGATCAGGCGAAAAAACTGAGTATTGCTGCCATATTTGGGCAGGAGTTGTCCAGTCCACACTTTCCAGCGTCTACAGACGCCAAAATCGTATTCCCGTCCATGTGAGTGACAAATTAATTTCCACCTTGCAACCCCTTTCTCCCTGACGAAACGTGGCAAGCCTCCCTTCCTTTTCTTTCATGGGACGTGGTCAGACAAACTGCAACCCTTAGTTCCAGGGGTTCTATCCTTCCCGCCTAAGACCCTCCAAGCTACGTACATTCAAGCGAACCGCCCCGATTTCATTCGTATTCTATTGGTTAGAAATAAATTCCACTCGAGCGGCTTCTTCTCGGAAAAACGCTATTTTGTGGACCGGGCTCCCAAGAGGTTGCTTTCCACATCACTAAAATCTTAACATGTTCAAGTCTAGGATTAACGATTATCTACTCTAAATATCCGATTAAATTGTACCTTTTTCTCTGTAATCGTCTACCTCGAATTGGCACCCGGGCCTTGTACAGGGTGAACATCGCTGTAAAAAAAAAAAAAAAAAATCCTGGTTCCGTTTTTTTTTCTTTTAGCACATTCTTACTGATTACAATTCTTTTCCAAGCGACAGTGAAGACATTGAGAAATTTAAAGAAAAATTACACTTTCGACAGGAATCGAACCCGTATCCCTTTTTCCATCAGGGAAACCACACTGTTTGTTTTTTATTTTCTAGACAGCAGAGTATAGTAGAGTCAGTTGGTCACCGTCTGTGAGAAAAAGAGCACCATGACGCAATTTACAGCGCGAGAAATTAGGCAACAACATGTTGTACTGCTTGGCATTCGCCCCAGAAGCTCCAATACAAATAATTCAGTGCTTACGTGTCAATTTAAGGAGAGTCCCGATGATTCGGGAAGAGCTATCAGTCATTATCCTGGTGTTTCGAGTGATTACTAGTGATGACGATGTTATACTTCTATTCCTCTTCCCACATAGCCTCAGATTCAACACAAATGCACACACCACACGCCTTGAAGAGGTAGTGCTACCCTGGGTCAAGACTGTGGCCGCTGTAAAATCATATGTCTGGCAAAAAGACTTTGCACCATGCCACACAAGCAGGAGAACCCAGTCATAGCTGTCAGACAATTTCTACGACCACATCACCTCTTACATATAGCCCCCACCCCACAACTCCCCAGACTGCAACCCTCTTGATTATTATGTGTGGGGCGCAATTGAGCGAGAGACCAACAAAACTCCTTGTAACACCAAAGATGAACTGAAATCAAAGATTATGGCAGCATTCACCAACTTAAACAAGGAGACCGTCCAGAAGAGTTGCAGGAGATTCCGAAGTCGTTTGGAGGTTGTAGTTGAAGCCAATGGCGATTTTATTGAATAAATCTACTCTTTAGTTTTTAAAGATATTTTTGTGCAATTTTGGTAAATATATCTGTTAAAATGAGATGTCAGTGTTATTTTCATTTTTGCGTAATTTAGACGACAATTTATCAATCTCTGTGTGTGTGTGTGTATATATATATATATATATATATATAATTGACTGAAGTAGAGAGACACATAGTTATAAAGGGAATGAGATAGATAGATAGAGAGAGAGAGAGGGGGGGCGAAAGGTAGAGTTTTAGAATATGCATTACTCTTTGTTTCGAAGAGAGCGCGACTGTGGTGCCACATTAAAAGAGACTCTCCTTCGTCTGTTCGTTGTTCGATGTGAACGTGACTTTACGAGAACAGGCCTGATTATCGAGATTCTTGAAGACGCCATTGCAAGACGAAAAGCGAGCGTGATTTCACGACACTTCGTTAACGCCATTGATCCATATTCTGTTTTGGTTTTCCGTTTTAATTGGCACAGGATTAACACACACACACACACATACGCAAACATATATATATATATATATATATATATATATATATATATATATATATATATATATATATATAATCCGTTGGTATATAATCCAAGTGAATTCTATTAACACAATATTAAATATTAAATACTAAAACTGATTCACACATAGAGCTCAATGTTTTTTATAATAAACAGAACAATATATTTCATAGAATCGGAATTAAGATACCATTATGCAAATGATAATTTTCACCTTGTAAAATTAAATCTAAAGGATTTTCAAACATCCAATGTAATGGATGATAAATCTTCAAAAATTTATAATCCTTTGACTGTTTGAAAATCTTGTAAATTTAATTGTATGACATATATATATATATATATATATATATATATATATATATATATATATATATATATGATTAGATCCACGCATGTATGTAGAAAATAAAATCCTATCTTGTCAATTTGTACATAATAATTTGTTTATAATAAACAAATTTACCAAACATGACGGCAAACATAAACACAAGTAAACGTACTAATAACAACCAACAATAAAATAACAAATAATAAATTTAAAAAATAGTTAACAAACAACACTAGAAACAAGCAGAAACTGCATCCAGTTCCACAATTATTCCCACTCAATAGACATTAGAATAATTTGAAACATAACCGTTACTGCCCACCAAAATAGCCGTTAGAATAATACAATAAACTACGCACAATGCATCACTGACCCATATATATTAATAGTCGAGCAAAAACACAATGCATATGACCTGCCACTAGCCTTTTAACTTTGTGTCTGACCGTTTAAGTTTTAGATAGATTAAACCAGTGATTTCAAGTTCATTTTATTATTTTTCAAAGGCTGCTAAAAATGTTTTAAGTTCTATTCTGCTGCAAGGGATGGAAAGTTGGTTCTTTGTGTCGCGCCAGAAGGTTTTTCTGGCCTGAGTTCATCCTTCAAATCTACAAATCAACCATTTGTCCTTGCATTGAATTCTGTTGCCATATATGGTCTGGTGTCTTCGCTGTTCATCTCGAGGTCCTCGACAAAAGACGGATATGTAATGTGATAGGTCCTGATCTGACATCTCGTCTACAGTCATTTTTATCACAGATGTGCTGCGACTTCCCTCTATGATTTCTACAAATATTTTCACGGCAGCTGCACTGAAAAGCTACTTTCACTGGTACCCAAACTACATGAATTTTAAGCGTGCTACTTGCTTGCGGTGAAATACTTTAAAAAATTATTTTGGCTACATTTATTTTACATGAAATCTATCTGATGCGGTTTTTGTATTTTATTATTTTCATTTTTGACTACCACGTAGAAACGTCTATGTTCCCTATTAGCATGACTGATGCTCGCTTCCATGAGAGTGCCTCACTGCGCCTTCTTGGCCTCACGTTTTCAATGGACTTGAAGTGGAACAACTACATTGAATCAATAGCTGCATCTACTGCAAGGAAAGTGGGTTCACTGTGTCGTGCCAAAAGGTATTTCTCTTCAGAGTCCATCTTACACATCTATAAATCTAACATTCGTCCTTGCACTGAATATTGTTGCCGTATCTGGTCCGGTGCCCATGCTGTTCATCTCTAAGTTCTCGACAAAATCCAAACAAGTATCTGTAATGTAATCGATCCTAAGTTGGCTTCTTGACTTCGGACACTTTCTCAGAGATATGATGCCGCTTCCCTCTGTCTTTTCTACAAATTCTTTCATGGCTACTGTTCTGTCGAGCTTTATTCCCTAGCGCCTCCACTACATGTATTTAAGCGCGCTACTTGGTTGGCATTTAGGTCCCACTCTTTTGCTGTTGAAATAGTTAAATGTAACCGCCACTTCTACTCCAATAGTTTCTTTCCTCGCACTTCCCGACATTGGAACTCCATTCCTCTCACTTGACTCCCTGGAAACTACAATCTTCAAAATTTTAAATGCAACGTCAATCGCCATCTTTGTTGCTTTGATCCCTGTTCTTTTTTCTTTCCTCAATCCACCCCCCTACATTCACTCGTTTCTCTTATTTTCATTCCCTGTACCCCGATGCATGCTAGTGACATTCCTGTCTTGCTTGGGGTGTAATGCTTAAAAAAGAAAAAAAAATCACTCTCCCCCGACAATAAGCTAATTTTTTATGGTGATTATTTGTTGAACTGGTGATTTTGATTTATTTTTCTTTTCTTCTTTTTTAATTTTGTTGTAAATGTTTAAGTTTTTCTTTCCTGATACTTAAAAAATATCTCCTTAAAGGCCATTTTAAAATTTTATCTCCCACTTTAAATTTTATTTTAAGCTATACGTACTCTCAAATTTATTTTTATTTTTCGGCCATTTTTTTCATAGGTGAACATTTTTTGCTACACGTGTATTTAATTTAATTTTTTTAGGAGTCGTTATTTTTAAAAATATTTTGCATTTGATTTTGTTATTTTGTTACTTGTTAAATTTAAAAGCGCCCCCCTACACTTTTGCATCTATTTTATTGCTTTTCCATCCCTGCATTTTGTGGGAAAACTTTAATTTGTGTCTTAATTTGTTCCTTACTGTTTCTGTTACATTTTTTGTTTTGTCAATTGTTTAAAAAGAACCTGTTTGGCTCGGAAAAAAAAAACAACCGCCGGATAAAGAATTAAAAAGGAGGAAGATATTACCATTGAGAACAAAAAGTAAAATGGAGAATGTATGGTGGCTTGTCCTCTATTCAGCATGTTTTAATGGGCGCTCAAAAGGTGTTTCTTAACTAATGTGCAAGTCTTTGAATTTTGTGCTTTTGTTTTCGTAGATCTGGCGGGTAGGCTTTGCCTGCTGGATGATACCATAAAACATAAGTCTCTTCGTCTCATTGGAGTTTATACATCCAGTCACTATGCGGAGCGGCCTGATTTGTTTCGGCATATCGAACCGTTTTTGACGACGTCTCGTCGGGTAGATTTAGCGGGCGATTGGAATGCCGTCCTTGACACCGACATAGATCGTATAGGGTATAGATTAGGTACTAAAAACCAGGATGTGAAGCCATTAGACTGTATCGACAATCTCGGTGGTGTCTTCTAGGTATATCGACCGAGTTCCATTTAAGATAATCGATGAAGGGATCTTAGGTAGTCCAAGTTTCCATTCTGTAATTTATTAGGATTATAGGCTCGTCCGGGTTCGTGTAAACTTAGATACGCCTAAGGTTAGGTTGGCTGGCTACTGGAAATTAAACGCATCATTGGTGAGCGAGATTTCTAGGACCAGCTACTACTAATTCTACTAGCGGGAATTTACGGGGGCTGTGGTTGGGTATAAGAGGTGGGATTTAATGAAATCTAAACTTAGGTCGATTGCTGCTGATTATAGTCGCCGACTCAATCTAATTATGTTAGGAGCACAAACAACATGTGAAGCAAAAGTTGATTGGGGGATTAAATCCAGTGATAATGGGGAAGTAGCTTTAGCTGGCCTCCTTGCTTATCGAGAAGGATGAAGCTCTTGCAGTTAGGGCTAGGTTAAAAAAGAATGTCTTCTGAGGTAACGGATATGGCCGCTGAACTGCGTTCAGAGGAAGTTAGAAGTGCATCCAGTAGGCATATCGCGAGCGTCACATTGCCGGATCAACGGACCGTGATCACCATCGCGGGCATATATGATGCTTTTCGTGACTATCAGGATCTGTTCATCAAGGAGCGCGGTCTGAGCCCTGCTCAGTTCGATGCCTATTTGTCCGACATTCCCTGTCTTGAGGTCGCTGAAGCGGCTGAGTGTGACGGTTCCGTTACGGGGTCTGAGATCCGGGAAGCGTTAAAGCTGGTTGGCCGAGATAAAACTCAAGATTAGATGGTCTTCCTTACTGTACTCAAGTCAGTCGACCGTTCTTGTCCCCTTGCTGAAACTGATCTACAACAACTAGATTAAGCAGAGGCCTATATCTCAACGGTTCACCACGGGTGTGATCAAGTTATTACGCAAAAGCAAGAATGGTGGGGATGGGATAGATAACTTTCGGTCTTTGATAATGTAAAATGCAGAGTTGAATATTTTAGCCACGATCGTAGCCATTCGTTTGCAGGCTGTCCTGTCTAGTCTGATTGGCTCTGAGTAGACATGTTCTGTCAAGAGTAGAATTATTCAGGACAACCTTCATTTGGTACGCTTGATGATCGAGCAAGTCGAGAGTGAAGCCGCGCTGATCGATTTAGATCAGTCCGTGGCATTCGTTAATGTTGACCATCATTTTCTGAAGGCTGTCCTTTCGACTGCCGGTTTCAACCAGTACTGCTAAACTTGGATCCGATTTCTGTACGATTTCGATGCGCTGGGGGAAGTGAATGGAGTACGATAGTGGCCTTTCGTGTTGTCTCGCTCCATTCGTCAAGGTTGTCCGCTTTCGTCTTTGCTTTAAGTTCTTACAGTGTTTCGCAGTTCCAACAGGCAGGCTTTGCATGCTGGATGTTACCATAAAGGATAAGTCCCTTTGTCTTATTAGGGTTTATTGCTTTCAATTGCACGTTAAAGGTGAATCTGGTCATACGCGGAATTACCTTATCTGGTGCTACCATCTCGGCCAGGCATTCTGCTTATGCTGATGACGTTTAAGTTCTTTTGTGGAGTAGAGCCGAGATTGACGAAGTCGGCAAATAGATCAGAGGGTACGAGACGGCCATAATCAACCGCAATAAGTTTACGGCTTGGCGCGTGGAAGGGAGTTTCTCTTCCTGGACCTTTCCTCTGGACAGACGGACCAGTCAAGATAATCGGCATCTGATTCGGTCTCGATCTCTTGCAAGGAATGAATTTGTCGGAGATGCAGGAGATGGTCGAGGGTGCAAGTTGTCTGTGGTCTCGGAGGAATCTTTCCTTAAAGGGGAGGGCAGAAATAGCTACTCTTCTTTGCCGACTCTCCGCGCTTCCAATCCTCTATGCCATACTAATGCAATTAGTTAGGGTCTTGTTCTCCTTCTTGTGGGGAGGCAAAGCTCCAAAGGTATATCGGTAGATCAGCTATCGTCACCCTTCCGAAGGCGGTCTGGGTACAGCTAGCGATGAGATTCAACATACGCTTCGCATCGCGTTCCAAGATCGAATGTGTTCCCGTCCCTAAGAAGTTTGCACTCGAGCGAGGAGGAGGCCCACCGTTTACTCCGAATCGTGAATACCGGTTAGCTCTCAATTTTCTCTTACGGTCGACGGATGGCCTCCTCAAAATCCAGGCGTTATCCCGTAAGGCATTATATCAGTTATTAGTGTGGGGGTCTGTTCAAAGATGATCTGATTAGCGAGCTCGGTTTAAAGAAGCAGGAGGCTCGCTCCATATGGCAGGGCTGAAATACCTCACTAATAATTAGGCATCACTCACCTGGCTGGTGATGCGAAGGACCATCTGGGTCGTCAAAAAACTTTCTTCAGTGAACTTAGGAAATTCAAGTTTATTGAAGACAGCATGGTTCGTATGCTGCGCGGAAAGTTCTTTGTCCTTGAGGCCAGTTCTGTTTGTAGTAATGTGGTACCATCGTTAACTAAGGCTAGGTTTATTTGCTAGGTGTTATGTGAGTCGTGATATGGACGACTCGTCAGAAGTTTACCTCTTCCCAACTGATCTTGTTCTTTGAGCATCAGCTTAAAGCGAAGGTCAGAAAGGCGACAACGGCCTTCATCCGAGATTGGTAAAAGGTTGGGGAATCTTGCTTGTATCTGTTGAGTGAAAGGAGCTGAGTTAGAGTGGCATTTTGATGCCGGTTGGGCATCAGTATATTTGGAACCCTGTATTTAACATTGGCAACCCTGCCGCAAAATAGGTTAGTTTGGGGCTTGTTTTGCTTTTAATTTCTTTCTCTAGGGGATGCATGCTTATTGTTCCGTTTTATTTTATTTTTTGTTCCTACTTTCTTTAGGCCAATTAGACGTCTCCTCCCCAGTAAGGTGATCAGAAATGTTAATTCTCTGGGGGATGCGGGACACTTTTCGATTTTCGATTGTGCTTTTCATTTTTGTTGTGTCTGAGTGAGTGTGTAATTGTGTATGTTTGTTCGAAGGACTGATTTTTACTATATCCAAGTCTAGCACATAAATTTCGTACAGTTAACTTATATTTCTGCCACAATTAAGGACTCTTTGGGGGGGGATTACTAACACCATTTTGTTAAATTTCTTGTATATATATATATATATATATATATATATATATATATGAGTGTGTGTGTGTGTGTGTGTGTGTGTGTGTCGAGTTCGAATTCCAGTGGAATCCATTACATTCACTTACGTGCTAATATCCTTGGGAAAGGTATATTTTCTCTTTTTCTCCCCCAGCTATGGGTAAATAGCAGGACAGACCGAGTTCTATAGCCTTAGATGCCAACTGGTCTACCGCAAAAAATGGCAACCTACTGCGGGAAAAAATCTGCGTCGTCAGTTATGTATCGAAAGATACATGATCGCTTAAACGTGTATCATGCATCGTACATAACTGTCTGACACCTACTTTATACATATATAAATATTTGTGTGGGAGTGAAAGAATTTAGGTTTTGTTGTTTGTGGTTGTAGGTAGACTGATCTTATGTATGGACTTTATACAAGTTGGTGATATAATAACGTGTTTGGCTGGTGTATATTTATCAGTACTCCTTCTAAGTATTTTCTACGAAATAATCTTATTTTCGTATTTTCTTATATACTGAGAGAGAAAGAGAGAGGGAGGGAGAGAGAGAGAGGGAGGGAGAATGATTGAGTGCGGTAGATATGAAAATGTTGTGAAAGAAAGAACGTTGTCTATAGATTGTCATTAAAATCTGAGAAGGGTTCCGACCAGTTCCTTAGAAAACTGATGAATTTGGCGATGATGATCCAAGAACTGAATCATATGGAATAAATGAGAATCGTTTCTTGACCGAATCTATTGTAGGCTCTCAGTAATGAAGGGAACGGTTTAAATATTTTTTATCCTCTGTTTCTTAAACTGAATAATGTTCATTGTTAAATGTATTTTTCTTATTTTTTGTCTGAATTAGTTTTTTTGTTATTCGGGATCATAATTAGCTTCAACCATTGATTTAGTCTTTCCACTTTATTTTTTCTTTCAGTTTCTCACTTTTCTTTCTTTAAATCATTTTTCCTTTTTCTTTCTTTTACCTTTTGTCTCTTTCTTTTTTTTTTTTCGTACAGATTTTCTTTCTTTCTTCGTTTCTATCACATGCTTGCTTTCTTTCATTTTCTCTTTTTATCCAATTTTCATCTTTTTGTATTCCGTTTCTCTATTTTCCTTTTATTTTTTACGTTTTCCTTTCATTCTTTAGATTCTTTTATCGTTCAATATTCGATTACAATTTGTTTCATTCTTTCTTTCGTTCATTCTTTGTGTTCAGTTTTGATTTTCCTTTTTTTTTTCTTTCTTTAAATCTGTTTTTTTATTGCGAATTCCATTTTGCCTTGTTCCTTCTTTTTCTTCATTTCTTCTTAGATCCCATTTCCTTTTGTATATTCTTATTGTTTATTTCTTTTCTTATTGTTTCTTTTTTCTTTCATTCTCTTTTTCTCTTATTGCTTCCTTTTCTTTCATTATATTTTCTCTTCTTATTGTTTCTTTTCCTTTCATTCTCTTTTTCTCTCATTGTTTCTTTTTTCATTCTTTTACTCTTCATATTGTTTCCTTTTTTATTCTGTTTTTCTCTTTTTATTGCTTCTTTTTTCTTTCATTCTCTTTTTCTCTCCTTATTGTTTCTTTTTTTCTTTCATCCTCTTCTTATTGTTTCTTTTTTCTTTCATTCTTTTTCTCTTATTATTTCGTTTTGCTTTCATTCTCTTTTTCTCTCTTTATTGTTTTCTTTTTTCATCCTCTTTTTCTCTTATTGTTTCATTTTTTCTTTCATTCTCTTTTTCTCTTCTTATTGCTTCTTTTTCTTTCATTCTCTTTTTCTATTTTTGTTTCTTTTTCTTTCATTCTTTTTTCTCTTATTTTTTTCTTTTTTCTTTCATTCCCTTTTCCTCTTCTCATTATTTCTTTTTTTTCCTTTTCTCTTTCCTTTTTTTCCTTTTCTCCCTTCTAATTTTTTCTTTTTTCTTTTATTTTTTCTCTAATCTTTCGCACCTTTTTTCTTTCCTGCTTTTATTTTTTTTTTCTTTCGTTCTTCGCTTTTCCTTTTTTCCCTTGTTGCAAGTGTTTACGTTTTTCTTTCCTTAATTTTTCATGTTTTATCTTATTTGTTAAACTGGCATTTTTTTTTATTTCTTTTTCTTTTCTTTCTTTTAATTTTGTTGCAAGTGTTTAAGTTTTTCTTTCCTTATTCTTAAAAAAAAACCGTGTTTGAAGCCAAATTTTTAAAATTTTATCTCCAGGCTTAATTTTTATTTTATGCTAGACTTTCTGTCAAATTTCTTTTTCTTCTTTCTTTCCTCCTTTCCATTCTCTTTTACTTTCTTTTACTCGCCTTTTCTTCTTCTATTTTCTTCTTTCTTTTATTATCTTCTTTCGAATTGTGCCATAAGACCATTATCACGTTGCGTTGTTTCGAATGTCCCGCGGGATTCTTCTGCCAAAGAAGCTTATCACACGAATCAATTTTGACATCCAGCTGTATTCACTTATCCATCTTAGCGAAGGCAGCGTCGAAGATTTTGCATCTAACTTCCCACTTCAGAATTAAACAAAATTCGTTTACTTACCTCCTACGCAGAAGAGCTCTTTCAGTATATTTTTTGATGAAGGGCCGACGAACAGCGGACCCAAGAGAACAGCCTGGGAAGTCGTTACAGAGGCTTTAGATTATTCTAAATATCATTATTAGTATTCTTTCTTTTCCTTTTTTTTTTTTTTTTTTTTGTACGCTATAAACTATTTCCGAAGAACGGCGTGAATAAAACAAATAAGAAAACGGTAAATCTGATAGATAAATCTAATTATACATGAGGATTTAGTCAAGCGGAAAAAGGATCTAGTAAAATTAGGGTAACAGATTTTGTGCGCTCGAAATAGAAAAGGCTTTTTTCGATACCTTTTTTGGAAGAGATTCCTGTGGATAATCCGGTGAACGCGTTGATCTTTTATCTATGGCATCCCGCGGGGGTGCTCTATACAATCCCTGTGCTGTCTTGTTATCTTCTATTAATAATGATACCCGGCGTTGCAATTGCCAAGTCCCTTTCTTTGTTCCCGTTGCGACGCCGACTTCGCTAAACTGTTTGAAATATTGAAGTACACTAAGGTTATTTTACGAATAGTCGGGTCACTGGTGACTAAACCGGTTCCCCCACCAGGATTTTCTGGTGACGATGTTAGATTCTCTTTCTCTATTTTATTTTTTTACAGTGATAATAAGTCCCGGGAGCCACTCGAGATAAAACGTTACAGAGTAAAACGCACAACTGATGCGATGCAACACTGCGATTGGTCGCTTCATTGGTGACTAAAGTGGTACCCCACCAGGATTTTCTGGTCACGAGGTTAGCCTTTTTTTACTTTTTATTTATAGCGATGTTCACCCTACATAAGGCCTGGGAGTCACTCTATGCAGAGGGTTACAGATTAAGACACAAAACTTATGCGATGCAACTCTGCGATTGAACGGGTCGTTGAGAACTACACCCAATTTAGCGATGTTCACCCTATATAATGCCTGGGAGCCACTCTATGTAGAGGGTTACAGATTAAGGCACAAAACTTATGCGATGCCAGTCTGCGATTGATCAGTTCATTTGTGACTAAATCGGTTCCCCCTCCAAGATTTTCTGGTGACGAGGTTAGCTTCTTTTTAACACGGTATCGAATTAGACTCGATGTATCGCCGCTCGATCGATTATGATCATTTCAAATCCTCCTAATTATTTCTCTCTATATATCCTTGCTTGAACCGGCTTCTAATTCTCTGGAGTGAGCGGCTTTGGGATGGTAGTCGTGGCTCGGCGAGGCACAGTCATATGGGTAAAAGAGAAACTCGGATGAGTTCTACCATGGAATATGTGATCGAGCGGCGCTTATATCCAGTCTAATTCGTTACCTCTTCGTCCCCGAGAACCGTTGGTCAAGTTGGTATGGCATTTGCCTCTTATCATAACTGTTCGGGGTTTCAATTCTCGGTAGTGGATACGAACTGCTGATGAGTCCCAAATATAGGACGAAACGGCCGTCCAGTGCTTTCTGCATTCTGTTGAGGTTTCTTCTAGACTCGATGAATTACTTAATTATGATATATATATATATATATATATATATATATATATATATATATATATATATATAGGACGAATTATGAATTATGATATATATATATATATATATATATATATATGTAGGACGAAAACAACCGTCCAGTGCTTTCTGCATTCTGTTGAGGTTTCTTCTAGACTCGATGAATATATATATATATATATATATATATATATATAGTCCCAAATATAGGACGAAACGGCCGTCCAGTGCATTCTGTTGTGGTTTCTTCTAGACTTTATGAATTACTTCATTATGATTGTTTCAAATCCTCCTAATTATTTCTCTCTCTCTCTCTCTCTATATATATATATATATATATATATATATATGTGTGTGTGTGTGAATAATGAAACCTATTTTTTATGCATAAAAGTACTATTAGTTTTTTAGCTGAATTCGATTTTTCTCTTCTATAAAAATGTATTTCGATGCAGCTGTCATCTCTACATGAGATGGATTTTAGCCTCACAGAATCTTGTTTACGCTTTCCAATTCCTTCTTTTATAAATCCTTGGCCAGTTCTGTTTAAAGCAGATTATAAAACAAAACATATCTCTAGTCGCAGGTCTGCGGTAGGTTGGTTGGTTGATTTTGTTTAGCGGCATAGCAACACCTCTATGGGTTATTTAATGCCGAAATTTAAATATTTTGAACACAATTTTATAACTTCAACTAAATATATTTTGAACGCAATTGTATGTCTTCAACTACAGATAAAATGTATTGCTGGTCATTTTGCTATGTCGGCTGGGGGCTTCGGAAGACACTGACTGCACCTCTGTAGAGGGGGCAACCCCCTCACCAAAACCACCCCAACCAATGATGCGTCCTATGTATGACGATAAAATATATCCTAGTCCTGGGTATGAAGATAAATTACATACGGCAGCAAGGCCTCTGATGAGGAGGTTTTGAGGAGTGTGGAACCACCTCTTAAATACTGGTGGTATCATGTTAGGGTCTCAGCTATGGGCAAATAGTTAACCCCCAAAGCTCGGGACAAAACACTATGAAAGTGTAAAAATAGGTTTTAATACCAGCAATATATATTTTAGAAAAAAAATTATTATCAGCAATACGTTTAAAAAATTACCAGCAATACGTTTTTGAAAAAAAAAAAAGAAGAAAATATTACAAGCAATAAGAATCTAAATACCCCATTGATGTCAATATGCCGTAAAACAAAACAAATCTGACCTATAAATATGTATTTTGGTAATTCTGGTGGGGATATATATTCTTGACACCTTGAGTAGAATAGTTGACCTTAACCAAGTCGGAATTTATAGAGATGACGGCTTAATCATTGTCCCAAATAGCAATGGTCCCTTAACTTCCAGCTTACATAAGAAGATTATTAGGGCCTTCAAATACTTAGACCTTAAAATTGAAATATCTTCCAACCTGAAAATAGTCAACTTTTTAGATATTACACTCAATCTATCGAATAATACCTTTAAACCCTTCCATAAAGTTGATCAAACACCCCTATATACATCAACGTCCACTCTAACCACCCTAAACATGTGATAGATCACATCCCCAAAACTGTGAATACGAGAATAAATAAGCTATCTTCTAGCCAGAAAATATTTAATGATAATAAATTTATATACAATCAGGCCTTAAAAAATAGTGGTTTTAGACAAGAATTAAGCTTTAATGGAGAACTTGTAAATCAGAATAAGAGCAAAACTAAGAACAGGAAAAGGAAGGTAATATGGTTCAACCCACCATATTGCAGACTCTCTAACATAGATATAGGAAGTTTCTTTCTGAAATTAATTGATAAACATTTCCACAGTAAGCATCCACTACGTAAAATTTTCAATAGGAAAACTCTAAAAATTAGTTACTCATGCGTTAGAAATATAGAGAAAATCATATCTTCCCATAATTGCAGAATACTTAAAACTACCACGGTAATGGAACTCAATCTAGTAACCCTACCTGCAATTGTAGGAATAAAGACCATTGTCCAATCGGGGGTAAATGCAAATCTGAAAATGTAGTATACGAGGCAACTATCTTTCCCGAGGGAAATATAAACGAGAAAAAAAGATACATAGGTATATCCGCCGGTGATTGGAAGCAGCGTCTATACAACAATAGACGCTCATTTAGATATAGATGCCTCAGTAGACAGACTTCCTTATCCAAACACTACTGGGAACTGGTGGATAAGGGATTAAACCCAATTTTGAAATGGAGATTCCTATCTATAGCCAGAACACCTAATAACTTCCGCGATCGGTGTGATCTATGCATGGCGGAAAAAATCTTCATTATCAAAGATAAAAATCGAGATGAGCTGCTGAATCTTCGGAATGAGATATTCTCTAAATGTAGACATAAGAAACGTTTCCAAACTTGAACACCGTTTTGTAACAGGTTGTCACTTATGTCGGCTCCATCTCGGTCCTATAACATCGGGCATGACATTTTAATTGTATGACTATTATGTTTATCTCTAAATGTATCTTTGTGCACGTTTATGTGATGCGCTATGTATTTATATATATATATATATATGTGTGTGTATGTTTGTGTATGTGTGTGCATGTATGTATGTATGTATGTGTATGTATATGCATGTATATGTATGTAGATGTGTATATATATATATATATATATATATAGATAGAAATTTTTTTTTTTTTTTTTCATACACGCGCAAATATTTGAATCGTCACTTATTTGGGTTTTAACTTTTTTATATATATGTACATATGTGTATATCTCTGTGTCTGTTTATATGTATGTATGTGTATATATGTGTGTATATTTTGTATGTATATGTATATATATGTATATATGTGTGTATGTATGTAAGTGTGTATATATGTACGTATGGAGGTGTTTATGTATGTATATGTATAGGTGTGTATGTGTACTTATGTATATACATGTTTATATGTGTGTGTGTGTGTGTGTATGTGTATATATATATGTGTAGGGTGTGTATGTATTTGCATGTGTATATATATACATGTGTAAAAAGTGTGTATGTATTTGCATGTGTATATGTATGTGTATATGTGTGTATGTGTGTATATATGTATGTATGTGTGTATATGTATGTATGTGTGTATATATATGTGTATGTGTGTATGTGTGTGTATGTATGGGTATATGTATATATGTATATGGATATATATGTATATATATATATAGGTATATATATGTATGTGTATGTATGTGTTTGTGTATGTATAAGTATGTATGTATGTATGAATATATGCATGGGGTATATGTATACGTGTATATGTATGTGAAAATGTGTGTATATGA